GGGTAAGAATAAATTAACCTGTATAAATGAAAATAAAGACATTGATGACAATGATACTGCTAGCAGTATAAAACCAATGACAAACCATAACGACAATAACGACGTTAACAAAGGAGATGACGACAATGAAACTGATAATGATCAACAACGACAACAACAAAAACAACAATGCTAAAGGCGACTAGGACGACAATATTGATAATGATCAACAACAACAACGACAAACCTCTACAACAACGACAATAATGATGATAATGATGGAGAATGAGGTAAGTTTAATGCCTCCTTTAAGACGTATTAGTCTAAGAGGCGAGACCTACGAATGTAAAAACAGTCTCCGACAGGACACAGCCAAATGATTTAGTTAGTTTTAGCAAGAATTTTACAGCTCTTGCAACACAATAAGGTCATACAAGTGTCGAAGAATAGAGGTGCTACAAGAAAGTAACAAACACAAAAAGGAAGAGGAGAGATCAGGACGATAGATGTTTAGTAGGAAAGAAAGAGCAAACCACACCAGGGCACCCGCCAACCACCCACATAGATCTAGTCATATAAGTCAAAAACATTTACTCACTCGTCCTTGCATAGTTGTGGGATGGAACTGTTTGATCCACAACACTTGATGGTCGAATCTAGCTCTGTGGATGGTTTGTTTTATTTTTGTTTTAGTAAGTGTTTTACGGCGCTTGAAACACAACAAGGCTATGTAAGTGCCGACAGTCAGAGGGATTACAAGAGGGTAAAAGACAAAAGACGAGGGAAGATAAGGGAAGATAAGGGAAGATAAGGGAAGATACAGATGATAGATGTAAAAAAGAAAACCCCACCAGAGCACCCGCGGACCACACACCTACACAAGACACAGGACACACCTACACACCACACGACACACACAAGACACACCACACGACACACACAAGACACAGCACACACCTACACACCACACGACACACACAAGACACACCACACACCAACACAAGACACAGCACACACCTACACACCACACGACACACACAAGACACACCACACGACACACACAAGACACACCACACGACACACACAAGACACACCACACACACAAGACACCCCACACACACAAGACACCGTACATACTTACACAAGACACCCCACACCTATACACTACACACCTACACAAGAGACAGCACATACAACACACCTACACTCTCAAGACAGAAACCACACACTCAAGACACACCAAACCTATACACCACACACACCACACAACGAACGCCACACACGAAGCACCACACAATCACCGACCAGTAGCGACAGGGAAGGCGGTGACGTCATGGTCTATGAACTGTCCCCATTGCATGATCATGTTGGTGAGTCCCAGCTCCTTGGGTGTGGGTGGATGAGCGGCTATGCTGACTGCTCTAGCACTGGGCAACGGCTTGCCGCTAACTGCTGTCTGCCGGGGCTTTTGATTAACTGGGGAGATATAGAAAGAGTGTGTGAGAAGAAGAAAGATGGAGAGAGGGATACATTTTGTTTTGGTAACAGTTTTAGGGCACTCGGAAGAATTTTTGATAGCCTTTTTAATTAAAATTCACACCTAGAAAATATGTCGCATCATCTATAAATTAACGTGTTTTAGGCACTTAAAAGTCCTCTTTTTCTCTCGGTGTCTATCTGCCCCTCTGTCCCCTGGTTCAGTTGTCCCTCGATTTCTACATAGAAGGAGCAGATACATAACAGCCTTTGCTTTTTTAAAAACCCAGTGAAGTGAATTCTTGACATTCTGAGGGCTCTTGGGAAAAAGAAATAGTGAAATGGTACAGGTTCAACGCCCAATTCAACTCTATTAGGTCATTTAAGAAGCGGGACCTCCGTAACGTCCATCTAAAAGCGGGAAATTCGAGTAAAGTTCTTTCCCAGGGACACAACGTCGTACCTAGCCCACGCTCGATTAGGATTCGGAAACATTGTCTTTTGAAGATCAGCATCATCATTCAGTGCCAGATCTGCAACAGACATCGGCAATCATCGTTCTCCATTCATTCCTTTGCTCGGATGCTCTTGAAAAAAAGCTACCTTTCCCTGATCTTTCCCCGTTACCCATTTGTTTAGGTTCTCTAAGTAGGTACCTCTGGGCCAACCCTCTGCATCGTTTGCGTTCACTTTTGCCAGTGAGAGCTAGAGATTCAAGACCTTTAGGTCTTGATTTGATTGAGTAGATGTTTTACGTCACTATCGACACAATACCTTTAGGTCTATTCAGGTGTCCCAAAAACTGCACTGTTTTAACAGTGAGCGTCCCACGTGGGCTTCATCGAGCACCACCTCTTCTGATTTCTTTTCCACACGATATTCTCAGCAGTCTCCTAAGAAACCACAATTCTGTTGCTTCTATTTTATTTTCATTTTTAGTGATTGTGATGCTGGACAATCACTAAAGACTGAAAATAAAATAGAAGCAACAGAATTGTGGTTTCTTAGGAGACTGCTAAGAGTATCGTGGAAGGAAAAGAAATGAGATAGTGCTTGATGAAGCCCACGTGGGACGCTCAATGTTAAAAACATATCAGGAAACGATAAATGCGGTTCTTGGAACACATAAATAGACATAAGGGTCTTGAACATCTAGCTCTCACTGGCAAAATTGAGGGCGAGCGAGGCAGGGGTAGGCCCAGAACAACAAACTTAGGGAACCTGAACAAATGGGTAACAGGGAAAGATCAGGGAAACGTAGCTTTTTTTTAGAGCATCCGAGCGAAGGAATGAATGGAGAACCATGATCGCCAATGTCTGTCGCAGATCTGGCACTGGATGATGATGACAATAAATAGCATTTCAGTCAATTTGGTAGTCATTGACATGTACAAATGGATCTTTACGGGAGGAAAAAAGAAACAAACTTTCCTCACCATCGTCGTAGGCAGGAGGTAGGAGTCTCCGAGCTTGTGTGCGTGCGGCACCCTGGTTTCGCCAGTTGTTGCAAGTCCCGTCAATGGTGCGGTATTTTTGGAAGAAATAGTTCGGACAGGCCTGCAAAAGGATAAGGTGAGATAAGATATTTTTTAAAAACATCAAAACATAAAAAGATTACGTAAGAAATTGTTAAATTTCTTACATTTTGACAGAACTGAGACAGACGTTTTAAGAGTTATTTCTTGAGTTGTACAACACTTGTAACACAAATGTCATTAAGTGCAGATTTTTCGCATTTTCCCGCGAAGGCTAGGTGAAGATCTTTCCTACCATAAGACCAGGAGTGTGACTGAAAGCCATCAGTAAGAAGGAGCCAGTGAGTAGCAGTAGAAAGGCTGCAGGAAGTCAGGAGGCCAGAGGAGGGAGAAAAGGAGATGAGGGGGTGGGGGCAGAAAGTGAAGACGAAAGCAGGCGACAGAAAATTGTTAGAGTGCAGGAAAGGTTGTGAAAGGAGAAAAGTTTAGAAGAAAATTTCCGTCCCTAACAAGATTCGAACACGAGAATTATTGAATGAGAGGCGAACACCTTAACCTCTAGGCCACGAGAGCCCCATCCTGTTATACCTGAAAGGCAAAACCTGACAGAACTGGAAGACGAACTCAGGTTGGGGGTTCACGTGGCCTAGTGGTTAAGGCGTTCGCCTTTCATTTAATGAGGTCCCGGGTTCGAACCCGGATATTTTGATTTTGATTGGGTAGATGTTTTACGGCACTATCGACACAATTTTGGTCATTTAAGCGCCATCAGGTTTCACCGTTACAAAATCAGACGTGTTTTTAATAAGAGTCTTTCGGAGCTCGCAACCGCAAACGATCACACTATTTCTATTATGCTAAAAAGACGAACAAACATTTATAAAAAAAATTTTGTAAATATGGAAAAGGCTTATTTACATTTGTATATACAATACAAATCTCAGCGTATGTATATATACACCGACAACGACAACTATATATTTTCACATTTTATTAAACAGTCCAATTTCTTTTATAAAACTTAAAATTCTTCTAGGTTCTATGATGTTAAAAAGGGTCTTAATATTTTTACATTTAAAATATTTATCACGGACATAATTAAAGTCGACACATTCCATTAGGATGTGCCGAACTGTGAAATTTGTGTTGCACGCCACGCAAAAAGGAGCTTCCTCTCCTTCGAGCAAATGGTTGTGCGTGACGTGCGTGTGTCCTATTTTAAGTCGGGTAAAAATTACTTTTTCTCTTCGTGGTAGAGAAAATGGTTTCCTGGGTGTAAGTTTCGGTTGAATATAATGGAGTTTGTTGTGTATTTGTTGAATATAACTTTGGGACCAGGAGGATGTGATGTGTTCTTTTACTTTCGGTTTCATGTCAGAGAAAGGGATTTTACTATTTTTGTTTTCAGGTAGTTTTAGAGATTCTTTGGCAAATTGGTCAACGGCTTCGTTGCCATCAATGCCTACATGGCTTGGAAGCCAAGCTATTGTAATAGTTTTTCCAGACTGATGTAGAAAATGCAGTTTAATGATAAGTTTCAAAATTCTGTTGTCGGAGGTGTCAGAGCGCTCTAAAGATTTCAGACAAGAGAGAGAGAGTCTGAAAGGATTAGGAAGGTAGACTTGGTTGATTGATCTATAATATTTAGGGCCATTTCAAGAGCTGTAGCCTCAGCAGTGTAGACTGAAGCTTCTGGATGGAGTTTCCTTAGGCTTAAGCTGTGTGGCGATGCAAGGGCAGCAGCTCCTACTGAGGAGTCATTTTTGGATCCGTCTGTAAAGAGTTTCTCTGCTTCAGGGTATCTATTTATCAGCTGTTTGTATGAGTTTAAGTATGTAGTTTTGTCTGTGGACTTTTTGTTGTGTTTTTCAAGACTAGTATCTATGTTTGGTTTGGTTAAATGCCATGGAGGTATGCTGGACATGGCAAAGGGCTCGATTATGTCTTCAGAAAAATCAATGTCTTTGAGATCGTTCTGGATTCTTATTCCGAAAGGGCTTACTTTATTTCCTAAGGAGGATAGAGTTTTTAGGTCTTCGGGAAGGCCAAAGACACATTTGTGGGCTGGGTTTTGGGGTACTGAGCTAAGTTTCAAAGCGTACTGCAAAGAGAGTTTTTTCCTTCTAAGTTCCAAAGATGGTTCATGTGCTTCTGCCTGTAAACTTTCTACAGGTGAAGTACGGAAAGCGCCCAGGGCAAGGCGAAGGCCTTGGTTCTGAACAGGGTCTAAAATTTTAAGGTAAGACTTTCTGGCTGATCCGTAAACAGGACTGGCATAGTCCAGCCTGGAACGGACAAGAGAACGGTAAAGTTGAAGGAGTATTTCAGTATCTCCTCCCCATTCAGGATTGGATAATACTTTTAAGGCGTTGAGAGCACTCTGGCACCTCGTCTTTAGGTCTTTCAAGTGTGGTAGGAATGAAAGTTTATTGTCGAAGATTACGCCCAGGAAACGGGCTTGTTTTTTAACAGGAATTTTCTCTCCAAACAAATATAAATCTGGTTGTCGCACACACTTGTGCGACAGACAAAAATGTACACAGTTTGTTTTTACTGTTGAAAATTTGAACCCGTGCCCGTTTGCCCAAGTTTCCAGTTTATGGAGTTGAAGCTGAAGCTGACGTTCAATGTGATCCATTTTGGATTTGGATTTATAGCAAATCAGGAAGTCGTCAACATAAAGTGAGCAGTCAATATTGTTTTGAAGGGTTTTTGTGATGGAATTTATTTTGATTTCGAAAAGAATGGGCGATAAGATGCTTCCCTGAGGGACGCCTTCTTCTTGGGTGTGTAAATGTGATAATGTTGAACCTACTTTTACTTGAAATGATCGGTCTTTCAAAAAGTTTCGTATAAATTCTGGAAGATTTCCGCGTAAGCCCAAGTCATGCAGGTCTTTCAGAATACCATGTTTCCATGTGGTGTCGAATGCTTTTTCTAAGTCGAAAAAAATAGCCACAAGGTGCTCTTTTCGAATGAAAGCTTCCCGAATGAAAGTTTCAAGTCGGACGAGATGGTCAATAGTAGAGCGATTTTTGCGAAAACCGCATTGAAAATTTGATAAGGAGTTTGAGGTTTCGAGAAACCACATTAGACGTTTGTTAATAAGTTTTTCCATAAGTTTACAGAAACAGTTTGTAAGGGCTATGGGACGGTAGTTTGATGGGTTAGAGTGATCTTTTCCTGGTTTTGGGATTGGTATAACAGTGGCAAGACGCCAACTGTTCGGAAATTGTTGAGAATGCCAGAGTTCATTGTAAATATCAAGGAGTAATAGGAGTGTTTCGTCTGGAATACGTTTGATGATTTCGTTGTGTATTTGATCAGGGCCTGGAGCTGTGTTTGATAGTTCTGCAATATTACATTTTAATTCGTTAAGAGAAAAGCTGCAATTATAGTGTTCTTCATTTGAAGAGGTAAAATCAACAGTTGTCTTTTCAGAAGACATTTTTACTTTTTGGAATTCAGGAACCCGGATATTGACGGAAATTTTTCGTCTTTAAATTGTATCCTATCACCCCTTTCCTGCTATCTGGCAATGTTCTGTCGTCTGGTTTCGTCTCCACTTTCTGCCCCCACCACCTCACCTACTTTGCCCCTCCTCTGGACTCCTCAGCCTTTCTACTGCTACTCCTTGGCTCCTTATTGCTGTCTCACAGCCACACCCCTGATCTTATGGTGGGGAAGACCTACACCTAGCCTTCACGGACAAGGACGAAAAATCTCGGTGGTCACAAGTGCAAGTTGTACTCGATAAAGACCCCTTGGTGGTCCAAAATTGATAAGAGTAGGCTTCGGCTGCCACCCGGAAAAAATTAAAATTTTTTCTACCAACTGAAAATGTTTATAATGTGTCCAGCGCGCTCATATGACCTTATTATGCAGTTCCAAGCGCCGTAAAACAATTACTCCCCCCCCCCCCCCCCTCCCAAAAAAAATAAAAAAAATAAATTTAAAAAATAAAGAAAGACAAACTGACGGTATCAAAGAGCTGAGTGAACAGCTTTCCCGTGTGCTTGATACTGCCAGTAGCGGCCGCCCTCTCCGTCTCCGCCAAGTTGAAGTAGAGGAGCGGACTAGAAGCTTGGCACACGGGCCGAGTATCCCACGACAGAGGCACTTGGGCTGGGGACCAAATGGAAGATCAGATTCTGTTTTAGTAAGAGTTTTACGGCACTTGCAACAGAATAAGGTCATATAAGTGCCGAAGATTAGAAGTATTACAAGAAAGTAACAAACACAAAAAAGGAGGAAATGTAAGGACGATAGATGTTTGATAGGAAAGAAGGAGCAAACCACACCAGAGCACCCGCCAACCACCCGCTAAGATAAGATTCTTTTATCTCCGGGGATATTTCTTTAGTCTGTACAGGACCGCAAAAAGCATGTAGGTATACATAAAAAATGTAAATCATATATTTCTCTCATTTAAATTCTATGTGAAAAGAAAAGTAAAGCAGACAAAATTTAGGCCTACATATCACAGATGCATCACTCAACCACATGCAGGAATTTAATTACAAGACCTTTGGAGCTATATATAATAAATCTAAAGAGCAATACATCTATATAATTAGGCTTACATGTAAATAGGCAAGTTAAACCCCCTGATTTGTGCTTTGGATTACGTCCAGTAGTGAAGTTTTGAGGTACTTGCAACACAATTAGGCTTTATAAGTACTGAAGATATAAAGATGTTACTTGAGAGCAACTTGTAGAGGAAAGGAAGCGGTAAAGACTAATGGATGGTAGGAATTCCGTAACGAGCGATCACTAGAAAATATATAGAGGGTCAGGATTAGGGCTAGGGCTGGGGCTAGGGCTAGGGCTAGGGCTAGGGCTAGGGCTAGGGCTAGGGCTATTCTTTACTCGGTTTGTCGGGGTGGTCACTCGTTATAACAGTCCTTGCCTGTAAGGAATTCCATAACAAGCGACCATAATACTACAAAATAACGGGTATGGTAAGGGTTAAGGATTGGGTCAGGGTAAAGGCCATGGTCAAGGGTAAAGCTTGCGTCAGTGTAAGGTCACGGGTAAGGCTAGCGTCTAGGGTAAAGCCGGCGTCAGTGGTAAGGCTAGGGTCTAGGGTAAAGCCTGCGTCAGTGGTAAGGCTAGGGTCTAGGGTAAAGCCTGCGTCAGTGGTAAGGCTAGGGTCTAGGGTAAAGCCTGCGTCAGTGGTAAGGCTAGCGT